GGAGGGCGAGACGAGGAGGTTGAGCCACGTCGCGCGCCCGGGGTGAAAGCCGGAAGGTGGAGAGGAGGAGAAGGAGGAAGCGAGTGGGTAGAGCGGGTCTCTAAACATGTCGTTATATCGAAGCTAACAACCCGGTTTACGCTGGCTCTCGACTCGTTCTTGAGTTCTCCCAAGAGAACACCGGCGAACAACGCGCGCGCGTTTCGCTGGTTATTGGCCGCCGGCCAAGTGCTCCTGAAAACTTATCTGACTATCGAGCATTGTTTATGAAAGCAATGTGACTACAAAGTGACGCGCGTAGTCTTTCGAGTAGACCGCGATGCCAAATTAATTGGAGTCTCAAACAGGTGACCGCGCCCTCCTGTCTATCATAGCTCATAAGATCCGTAGATGCTTTTATCTCAGTCTTCTAATTTTACTACACAATTCTGAATCGCTTACTCTGCAGGAGTTTTTTCATTTTCTTCGAGAATATATAGCATATTTTTCTGAAATAACGAATTTTGTCTTTATCATTGTTTCATGATTAATTGATTACTTAAAAATATTCTAAAACATATAATTGTAGATTTCATGTCAATGTTTTTATAATTCTCGTCGTGTTGGTATTGATGTAAACTCCAAGATGGTGTAATATTAGTTTAATAAATAATTCAACACCAACATAATGTTCAATTCATCATATTGGTGTTGATGAAATATCAACACGAGAATTTAACACTCATGATTAAATTATAAATCTACTATATTTTTTAAAATGAATGCATATACATATAATATTATTAAAACGTTCTAAATAAAATTAACTTAATTTTCACAAATATATTATTTGTATTTTTGAATTTATCGAATAAAATTTTTTTTTCGTGTAAAAGGTAACAATAGAAATTAAAATAAAAAAGAAGAGTGTTTAAAATTTATACAATATCTTATTAAAAATATTTTTTTCTGTCCTTGTGATAGCTCTTAAATATCAGGTTTAAATAATAAGTTCTTAGTTTATAAGAGAGTAAATAATAAGGGTTAATTAAGATATTGTGCTACAGTGCAATATCTGTCCATAGCAAGATTGTATAACAATTTATATCGTAGATAGGTTATTATTGCAAAGAAATAACGATGATCATCTCGTCTTTTTTCTAAAACAATAATTATGCTACTGGAATGCGTCTCATATTAACGACGAATGGCATGTCTATCAAGCTAAGAATGCCTCCACGTCTCGGCGTTGTTTTACAAGAAAAAAGAACGAAACGGATTGTGCTTGCCTTGCTATAATGGAGTTGCTCCATTCTCGTGAATCTATTGCTATCTTATACACAGAATTTATATACAGAAATATGTATACAGAAATATGTATACTATAAACAAGTAATAATTATTATTTCAAGTATTTTGAAAGTTTATATATTATAAGTCCCTCACAAGCATTAAATTTATTCAAAATATTTCTAATAAGTTTAATACTTTAATCAATTTATTAAATTAAATTCAATTTATTTATTATATAAAATTGCTTTTCGATCAATTTTATAACGTTCTTAAAAAAATTTTGTTTTAATATATAATGAGTTTTTCCTAAATTTCTAATAAATATCTATATTATAAGATTATTATAAAGAAGACATTCTTTGTTAAAGTTACTTATTACTTAAAAATAATAAATGATAAATTTTTTTTTAAATAAATTTTACAAAAAGACTCTTGTAAAATTTTAATACTAATGAGTGTAAAATTATAAAAATAGGATTAATTAATGTAATGAAAATATAATTAGTGGAGTTGAAATCTATAAATAACAGGTGAATATTAATCAGACATCCTGGAGTGATTGGTTTGACAAGATAATCTTAAGCTAATCCGTTGTGATAAATTAATCGTTACACGTTTAACGTCGACGTTGAAGGGAATCACTTACGTTGTTACAGATCGGAAACACGTCGATCAGCCGAAGCGCGGTTCCGTCGGGAAATCGAAGGGAAGAACCGCACGCTAGGCTGACTGGGAGGATCGTTTCGAGGGACATGGCTTAACTCACGACAAGTGGGAGACAGGTGGAGGAGCTACCATCCTCGGGTCTCAGGATTCCGAGAACACGGATGGTCGTCGAGATTTCCTACGACGTTGGAAGTAATCACGAGTGGTGTCGGGTGGTGTGTTCGTGATCTAAGGGGGGGGGCTCAGTGGCTGTGATCGTGGTGTTGTGTCGGGGATCAGTGTGTCGTCGGTGAAGAGAGTGGTGAGAGGTATATCGGGTTATGCGTCTCAGCTACACGAGTAAGAATTAACGACAAGGGCAAGTGTGGTGAAGAGAAATCAAGGTGGATAAGATGTACACACGATAACCAAGAAGTAGAAGACGCGAGGAAGAAAGAAAGAGAGAGAGAGAGAGAGAGAGAGAGAGAGAGAGAGAGAGAGAGAGAGAGGAGAGACCAAAGAGATACGGCTATATCGCGAATTACGTCGAGCGAGAGTAGAAGCGAGAGAGTAAGTGATGTGTTCGATGGACGAGGCGCGTCTCGCGGGCGGTGGTCGGGGTAATGATAACGCGTGTAGTCACGCGCGCTACCACTACTATTACTTGGTATCCAAAGTGAGAAACGGTGGGCAGTCGGTGACCAGGCTGGCGGGCGCCGGGGAAACGTTTCCAAGGGCATGGCGACCACGCCACTAGGCGGTCGCCTCCCTAACGTAAACCGTAAAGGACCATCTCCGTGCATCGGTGGTGGTGGTATTAGTAGTAATAATAGTAATAGTAACAGTGGTGGTAACAGCAGCAACGGCAACACCAGCAACGGTAACAGCGGCAACAACAACAATAACGGCTTAAGTAATAATAACGTTAGTGGTGGTCAGTCAAGGAGGCAAGAGAGAGCACTGATCGGCAGAGAACACCGCGATCATCGTCACCATCACCATCACCATCATCACCACCATCATCACCATCATCATCACCATCAGAGTCGGGACAAGTCATCATTGTCATCGTCGTCGTCGTCGTCGTCGTCGTCGTCGTCGTCGTCGTCGGGCCAGCAGCGTGAGTCTAATAAAACAAGCACAGTGGCTGCTAACGCCGGTGAACTGGATCCGGCCGCGACGAATGCGACCAATAACTTTGAGTACGACGACAACGAATGGGACATTGGCATAGGTGACCTGATAATCGATCTTGATGCGGACATTGAGAAGACGAGGGACGAGAAATTGAGCTCGGGGACAGGCATGGCTTCTACGCCTGCCTCGGCAGCATCGGCACCGAATAACGCGAATCATCATCAGTTACAAAACTCAGCAAGTGGTCTCAACTCAAACTCCTCGTCCTCGTCCGTCCCGTCGACTGGCACGAACGCCGGAAGTCAATCGTCGTCGTCCTCGTCATCGTTGTCGTCGTCCTCTTCGTCATCTTCATCCTCATCGTCCTCTTCTTGTGGTGTGAATTCAACGCGTTCCAATAGTCCCGGCAGCGGCAGTGGCAGCGCGAACGGCACTGGCAGCGCGAACGGGGCCGGTAACGCAAACGGTACCGCATCTGTAGTCACCGGTAATAAGCAAGCGTCGGGTGTGAACGTGAGCGGCGTAAACGCCGTCCACGCTAACGCCGGTAATCCCGGCAAGATGGCCGTTGAACATTCGGCCACCGTCGACAAGGGCCTCAAGATGAAGATCAAGCGAACGAAGCCCGGTACCAAGACCAGCGAAGCCAAACACGAGATTGTTAAGTCGAACGAGATCAACGGTACCGTCTCGTCGCAAGACTCGAACAACGGCACCGCTGCCTCCTCAACGTCCTCGTCCTCGGCCGTCGGCTCGACGTCCGCGTCGGCCGCGGTTACACAAAACTCACAAAATTCGGAATGCGGCGCGGCCGGCGGCGGTCAGTCGTCTTCGTCGAATAAGTCCAAGCCGAGCCACTCGCCGGCATCCGCTGGCGGCACTGGTGCCGCGCCCTCATCCACCGCTGGCTCGAAACGCGGCTCGAGCGGTCATCGGCGTGACAAAGCACGGGACAAGCACGAAAAACCGCAGAGCAATCACACGCCCCAGCAAACGAAACCGGAGATGAACGGTACCGCGCGACCGACACCGCAGGGTCAAAATTCGGCCGGTGGTGCGACGCAGTCTCAGGGCCCAACGCCGGCCGCCACGGCGCCACAACAGACCCAGGGACCACCGCCCAGTTCGAGGACAGGTTTCTCCGTGTCACAAGGCCCCGGGCCACCCGCGACCAGCGCGGCGGCACCCTGTCCGCCGCCGAGTCCGGCGAGCGCCACGGCGGCCGGCGCGCCGGCCAAACCGGAACAGACCAAGGTCGCCGCGGTGCCAGGTCCACCGCTCACGACACCAGCCGAGGAAGCAATGGACACTGCCGCTAGTCCTCCGCCTGCAAAAAAAATGAAGACGGAACCAAAGGTAAGTCACTTTCTAATTCATTTTGTCGCAACGTGTCGACCATTCAAGTTAGTTACTCGGAATTAGTATAGAAAGTGTTATTTTTATAAAACTTGTGGTAATTTTTTAATGTCGATGAAGATTTCATAAATTTTAACATCTAGATTATAATAATAGATTTAAAAGTTGATAAAAATTTATTCAATGTTGATCGACTCGAATAATATCTCGTTATTTGTTTTCTGAAAAAATTAATTTATTTTTACTAGAGGAACTATTTATCTTCTTTGGATTTATTGCTAGAAAATTATTAAATATTGCGAAATATTTTCGGCTCGAAATATCGCAAGGAATAATACTTTATATAATAATATAATGCTATTAATATGTAATATAAAATATTCCAGATTCAATATACAATATATATATATAGAGCGCTTTATATTCTCACAAGGAAACATAGTATCTAAAGTTACTGGTCATCATCCAATTTACCGAAGTAAGCTGTGCTTGCTTTATTAGACTCACACTGGTCCGATAATGACGACGATGATCGCGTGTCTTCTCAAATTTTGATGAGCTTTCAATATGTTGTATTTTGCATTGAGAATCCCATTTGATTAAAATAATCTCTTGTTTGACATGGATAAACAAATCCTTGATTGTTGCAATAAAATAATTTAAATAAAGCAAAAAGTCTGATTATTGTGTAATATTCTATACTTATTTCCGATGATACAAGTAAACTGTTAAAATAATCAAATTTTTTCCTTCACTTAAATTGTTTTGAGATCAGTTGAGTTAATCAAATGGAATTCTCAGTGTAGACTCACATAAGAGACACATATTTTTTATTTATTTTATATGCACTTTCAAAGATTGAAATATCTCTACTAAAAAAAATCTATTATTTTTTTTTTTTCGAATTTTTACTGTCGATATGAAAAGAAAAATTTTTTTGAAATAAAAATTGTAAATGATTTTTAGAAAATTCTATAATAATTTTTAAAAAATTATTTAAATAAAAAAAATGTTTATTTATAAACACTAAAAATTTAAAATAAATTTTGTATGATTATTATTCAATTCTCTTGAAACCATTTTTAACTTTTATTAAAAATTTTTTTTCGAAAGAATGTTTTATCTCATAAAAGTGCATTATATGAATAAAAATATGTATCCCTTATTTTGATTTAAATATTAAATATTAAATCATCAAAATCAGATAACACTTCCGAGTGTTTCCTTGTCAGTTATAAAATATCCATCATTAGTATTGCGATTTGAAAACAACGGATACGTCTAATTAATTTTTCTTTCTCTTTTGAGAGGAACATGTTGAATTAAGTTTACGGATTTCCTCTTCCCGCATAAAATACACAAGCATGTTAGTCGGGATACAAACAGGGGAATTCTTTTTATCTCTTGCACGACGCATTCCAGCCGGATATGTAATGTTGATTTCCGGCAGCTCGTTAGTCGCCACGAACTCGAGCAGCCCCCTCCTTCGATCGGTATCTTCTTCTCGTCGGCGGCGACGCGTAACGCTCGTACGCACCTAACTTGCTTGCGGCGCGGTGAGATGAGAGCTGACACGAAATCAATTACATAAGTTCATATGCATAGAATGCGAACCGATAGTCTGCATGATGCACGTGCGTATATGCGTCAATACTGCGTTCCGTTGCGTGCATCGGAAAAAGTTTTGCTTGAAAAAACGGAGATTACATGGAGGAAAAAAATATTTAAAATGTTACTGTATATAAATGTTAATGTATATTAGAAACTGATGACATGTTAGTAAAATAATGGATCATTAACAAGGTAAATTTATTCAAATAAAAATGAGTAATTTCAAATGCAAATGAAAGAATGTCATTTCCTGCAGTATTTTTTTTTTACATAAGATGGATGATTCTACAAATGTAGTGAATATCATATTTTGTAGAAATATCATATTTTTTTATTTTTATCAAAGTATCTAGGATTGGAATAAAATTGAAATTGAATTAGTTGCAAGAATTCCTCCTTATCTTATCTATTCGTAAATTGAACAGAAAGACATTAATGAATAAATGATGGAGATGCGACGATATTTTTTTCTATTTTCATTCAAATAGAAACTTCAAAGAATCAATATCGCCTTGACGTGCTTTACATATTTGCTTCCGTTTTATTCTATGTTGGGGTAGACTATCGCCGTGACACTTGAATAAATAAATCCGCTTCTTGAACGCGACGGGAACGTTATTGTAAAATACGAGCTTTGGTTTCTGTCGCGAACCTCCGCGTGAGCGTTACGCGCATACGTATATCTGAAAATAAACGCGAAGCGAAAAATATCGTTTGAGAGATACGGCAGAGCGCCATAAATAAATCTCGTCTCGTGCGCGTTTCATTCCCCCGATCCACAGCCATCAAAAGTTGTGCATTATTTTCCCTCGAAGAGATCTACCAACGTTATCGTATTTTACAGTCGACCGGACACGACGAACGTCGAATGGCTTTTCTTATTGGGTGTGCACGACAAATTTTTCTCTCAAAAACTGGATCTTATCTAACTCTGATCACCGTATTTGCTTGTGAGAACATACACCTTTCAAACCCAGTTTTTCTAGTTCATTTATAGTTAACGTGATGATAATAATGTAAAACTGGTATTTTTCTAGAAAAAAATTGGAATGGATTTATGCGGTGTTAAATCCTTATCAACGTATATAATTCTTATTATCATGGGTTATCATATAACAAAATAGATTTTTATTATATAATTAAAACAAACATCGATTAAATAGGTAGATGAGGTATTTTAAAACACTCCAAACAAATTTTATATCTTTACATCTTTATAGTTATATTTTTAATAGCGTACATAGAATTAAATTTATATTATTTATACTCGAGAGAGAGAGAGAGAGAGAGAGAGAGAGAGAGAGAGAGAGAGAGAGAGAGAGAGAGATTTATTCACCTACTTAAAAATTAAATTTAGTTTTTTGTATTAATATAAAATTAACGTAGATAGTACTAATTATAATTAATTATAACAGTGATGATTCTTATTAGCTTTAATTTTGAATTGTTAAATTAAGGAATCCAAATTTTTTTTTAATTTTTAGTTCTCATTATGTTGGTGTTAATAGTTGCTTTCCATTTACATTAAAATTCAGGTAATTCTCATTTATGTTACAATTCAATTCAATGCACGTTTCATCTCATTCTGACGAGTAAGATAGTCTGAATCTCATTGAAATAAGGTCTTATAATCTGCACAAGTTCTAGATCGTGAATTTTATTGTGAGTCTTCTTAAAGGCCGCAGCACAAGCTTTTGCATAACACTGTATAACACATAAGTCATAATGGGCTTGATATAATAAATCATTACCTAAGCTTTTAAGTCTTAAGAGAAAGAAAATGACCAATCACAGTCAAATACAAGGAGAATAATCGAGTATGATTGATTACTTTCTTACAGTTTAAAGTTTAAGTAATGCTTATTGTAGATAGCCCATAACAGAATCAATTAATTAGAATACGAAATGAAGGATTTTGATTGGTTGATTCTCTTATGCTTTATGCATTACACAAAATCTGTGCTGCGGTTTTAATTTACATTAAACATAAGATTATGAACCTGTGTTATTTTGTTGTAAAAAATAAGCAAATATAATAACGATGTTATAGTATAAAATGCATACTGAATCATAACTTTAGACTCAGTATTACTTGTGTTAAAAATGGAAAATAATTATTATTAACATTAACAGTGAGAATTATATAGATATCATCCTATAGTGTTAAAATTCACACCAATATTATTTAGAGTGCATGGTATGACTAAGGTGATAATTTTGTAATGAGTTAACTTTTAAAATTATCACTATCATACCATTAGTTTAGTCATCTAGCTAAAAAAAAACACAATTTTTATATTATTATCAAGTTAAGTGAGGTGAAGTCTAAACTAGTTCAACTGGAAAATGGAAAAATCGAACCTTAATGTCGCGCATTTTTAATATTCAGTTTTTTGAAATATTTAAAATACAGTCGAATAGTAAATATCGTTGGCTCGAAGTCAAGCGAGTTTTTGCTCGAGTTCGCAGAATTTTAATCGTAATTTTAATCAGCGAGGTATTAAAAATTTCAACCGTCAAATCGTACGAATCCGTAAACATCATCGGCTTCATATTTCGCGAGGAATATTTCACGAATGTATTACATTGGAATTGCTGTAGCGTGTAGGCAGGACATTGTGTACACGCGCGGAGTCGTGAAATCCGCGCGTTTTCCAACGGAACCTCGATGTATCTCTCGCCTTGGCACACATCGGGGCCCGTTGTCGTTCTCGTCATCGTCGCACATACGTGCTCGTTCGCAACCTTGTTCGCGAGTCGTATTACGCCGGACACGTATTCGCGCGTCAATCAACTCGCGTACGTGTCGCGGATGCGCTCGCGGATCGTCCTGGCTCGGTTCGGCTGCAACAAAATTGGGAGGACACGCGCGTATGCACCCGCAGCGGAAAATCCAATGAGTGTACATGTCACAGTGTTAACTGTTAAATGTTCCGGTTAACTGTAATGACGTTCCTTCGTGCGCTCTAAAGAGAAAGAAGGAGAAGGATTCTCGCAGTTGCGGAGAAAGAGTTTACTAGCGACAACAAAGTTGTGTACTTGCGAAGATTGCAGCTTTGAAGTTCGAGTCGTAAATATCAATCTTGCAAGAATAGGAAATAAGAAAAATTCTGCTAAATTGAGTAAAACATTCTATTTTAAATAATTTTTGCAATCATCTTCGACATTACCGACATTTTATAGTTAAATGCTAATAAATTTTTTTTTCATGCCTTGTATTGCTGTGTTACTTTTTATCTATTTACATATGTAAACCGTGCACTCTGCAAACTGTAATTTTAAATGCAAATTTTACGTATCGATTTCACAGACAAATACTGTATAGATTACGATAAATATACTCTTTGTTGGTATAATAGATACTACGTGATGTTTCAATATATAGATTT